AGGGAGAAGCAGGCTTCCCGCGGAGCAGGGAGCCTGATGCGATGCGGGGCTCGATCCCAGGACCCTGGGATCATGATCTGAGCCGAAGGCAGACGTTTAACGACTGAGCGACCCAGGCGCCCCAAGGGTCAAAGTCAGTATTTTCGGTTTTGTAGGCCACGTGGTCTGTCACAACTGCAACTCTGCCTCTGGTGTGGATGTGAACAAATAGGCATGGTGGCGTCCCAACAAAAAGGTACTTAACAGACCTGGGTCTAGAACCCCCATACTATGCCACTAAGTCAGCTGGGCAAGTGAGGTCAAAAAAGGAGTTTGGGGGGCACCTGGGTGGCTCAGTCAGTTAGGTGTCTGCCTTCAGCTCGGGTCGTGATCCCGGGGTCCTGGGATCGAGCCCTGCATCAAGCTGCAAATAAATAAATAAATAAATAATCTTAAAAAGGCATTTGGGAGGGGCGCCTGGGTGGCTCAGATGGTTAAGTGTCTGCCTTCGGCTCAGGTCATGATCCCGGGGTCCTGGGATCGAGTCCCGCATCAGGCTCCCTGCTAGGTGGGGAGCCTGCTTCTCCCTCTGCCTCTCTCTCTCTGACTCTCATGAATAAATAAATAAAACATTTAAAAAAAAAAAAGGCATTTGGGAATCTTAAAAAAGGGAGACCAGGAGGGCAGGTAGAAGATGTACACTCAGTGTGAGTTGTCAGAGAAGGGGCATAGCGGGCAGAAAAGGACCACAGCCACAATAAGACTCATCTATGTGCACTGCCCAGAGTCTTTATCTAATTTCCCACTAATCTTTCCCCATCTACAAAAACATAAAGTATGAAATGAGCCAAGGGAAGAGAGCTGGAAACCCCGCCTCAAGTGATGGCATGGGAGTGGCAGACTGTGGCATCACTAGCTGACATGTTACTTGACCTTCCTGACAACCACCATGAAACAGAAACCACCAGTACTACCTGGGAGGTTTTTGGTAAGACAGATTAAGCAAAATATGTATATTTACCTGACCATACAGAAAAAGCTAGTAGAATTTCTCATTTTAGATCCAAAGCTGCCTTGACCAACTGATTCTTGGGGCACTGCCAAAGAACATTCAGGGCCAGGCAGCCTTGCTTCCCAAGACGGGTAGATGGGGTGGTGGTCTCATTCAGGCTCCAACACTGATGTGCCTGGGGAAGTCACATCAGCTTCCCTCCACCAGCTCCATTTTCTTTTTTTTTCCCCCCAAGATCTTTTTTTTATTATTATTTATTTATTTGACAGAGACACAGCGAGAGAGGGAACACGAGCAGGGGGAGTGGGAGAGGGAGAAGCAGGATTCCTGCTGAGCAGGGAGCCCGATGCGGGGCTTGATCCCAGGACTCTGGGATCATGACCTGAGCCGAAGGCAGACGCTTAACGACTGAGCCACGCAGGCGTCCCCTCCCCCCCATTTTCTTTCTAAAAGCACAGCAGCGATTCCCACCATATGCCACTCACCCTACCCACACGAGAGTTGACAGTTTCATCCTCAGGGGTCTGAGGCTGTGGCCGAGTCATGTTGGCCCCTGTGCCCAGTCTAGAGCCTAAATTAGAGTGGATCTTATGACACTTCACGCACGAGTGCACCACAAATCTACGAAACGCTCCGTGTTCTGAAGTACCAAGGCAACTTGTACCGAGGCCAACTCTTCTCAAGGTCTTCCTGAAGTTTTCTCAATGCTTGCTTCCCACCTACTTCCTATCTGGAGACAAGCTTTGGCCAGGAGGGAGCCCCTATGTCACAGAGGAAGGCTGATAGTTGCAGAGGCTGATGGCCCTTAGTGAAGGCCTGTGCAGAGGCTGCCACCTGAACAATCTTGCACTGACCCCCCCACCCTCCAATCCCTAAGTTAGGCCTTCGTGGGGTGACAGCTTGGAGAAACTTGAAATGTCAAGGACAGGTGAAAATTAGCACTGTGCTATCAGATGCTACATTTAAGTCATTCCTTCCAAGGTGTCATCACTGGGACACTAATAAAGACAGGGGGCTGCCATGGTTACAGGGTGACCATAAGGCCTTCTTTTAGGCACTTGAGACTTACAAAGATTTAGAGCAAGGAGGGACCTGGCCAAACCTTAACCTCTTAGGAATAACTTACTAGAGAGACAAGGAAAAAGCTGGCCTGATGATCTGAATAAAAACAAGACCTTTAACTTTTCTTGAAAGATTACTCTCCCATAGGTACAGTTTATAGCATTTTAACAGCCATAAGCTCATCTGATTCCCACTACAATCCTGCAATGGTACAGTCATAGCCCCATTTTAGAGAGGACCACAAGAGGCACACACAGATGGAGGTCACACAGTTAAGCAGTAGAGAAGAATTTGAGTCTAGACCCCATGAACATAGAAAGATAAATGCCTCCCTCTAAAACACACCACCTTTAAGTAAAATAAGAACATTCATTTGACCCTGGATTTCCGTGGAGGCTCAGAGGAAGCCACCAGTCCTTACATAAACCTCCTACAAATGAAGAAACGGATTCAGAATGTGAAGTTATCGAGTGTCACACAAGCACGCAGAGACAGTCTGAGGTTTCTCCTCTCACACTGTAGGTCAACTATAAAGAGTTTCACCTCTCTTGCAATCTTGGCTCACAGACAGAATGGGGAGATATGGTGCATGCCACAGGTCACCCAGGCCCCGACTCCCCAGAGGCCCCAGTTCCTCACCAGCTCGTGTGTAGAACCAGTTTTCATCGTAGGGAGCAAGCTCTTTATGCTTGGCCAGCTTGACAGTGTCCACCCATTCAGGGACTTTCAGCTTCCCAGACCTGGGACCAACAGTGAGAAAGGCACGATTCAGGAGTCTGCACAAACTCCACCCCCCCCCCAATCCCCTCTGCTCAGCACAACTGTAGGTTACCAGGAGCCCCATGTGTCCCAGAATACGAAGCATCTGAAACCCAGCTACAAGCCAAACCCAGGCCTCACGCAGACAAGCGGACTCCACTCTGAGATCTCACACAAGCCCCCCCCCC